CTCTTCTGTCTTTGAGAAACTCTTCTTTCTCTTCCGTCCGTACAAATACGACCACCTCCAGCTCTTGGGCATAGTGTTCAAGGATCTCTTCTTTCTTGATTTGGGTTTGGACCTGTTGCTCAAGGTTGCGGTTCACCTCGCGCAGTTCCCAAATCTTTCCCGTCAGTTTTTAGATATCTCTCGAATGTAGCACCTTTAGCCTGGGCCGCACGCAATTAGACAGTTAAATCATCTACCTGTTTATATATATAGTATTTTAATCAAGAGTGCTAATGACGTTGTTGTTGCTTTTTAAATCTATTGCTTCTGAATTTTGATGAATAAGAGTAACAATAATCTTATTAACAATAATAACCAATATAATAGTAATAGTACGAGACTTACAATAATATTAAAAACATTATTCGTAATAATAATTATATGAATAATTTGAAAATTAAATTAAGCTGTAATAAAGCATTATTTCTTTATTTTTTTTTAAACCTTAATATTTCAAAAGATTCCGATCTATTAATGCGATATAAAATTAGTTTAAGGAAAAAACGCTCCAAGTCCTTAAGGGACGCTATGTTAAGTCGATTTATTGTTAAATTATTTCAAACTCTTTTCCGTTCCATCCCAGTTTTTGTTACTAAATCAAGACAGTAGTATTCTGGAATATTATTAACATGGCGAATTTTTCTTGAAAAACTATTTTTTTATTCAATTTGAACCAAGCCGTCAAAGCTGTCTCCGAGTTTTCACATTAATGATAATTATAACAACAATAACTATAATATTAGAACACACGGCCTACTGCGGTTGTACTCGGTATTATATATTTTATACGTTGAAGCTTTTAGGATATTGTGGAGTAGTTATGCAATGGTGACTGTTTGAAGAGCACATAACTTGTAAAGGCTCGGAGGATAGATCAAGTGGACCTTATCCAAGAACTTGAGTTTGGCAAAGCTGGCAGCAAAAACTTGAAACTTAAAGCTTGAATTGAATATTTCAAAGAAAAAAAAAAGAAAAATAACATGACAATTGATTGATGACAATTCATTTGAAGTGAATTTCAAACGAAATCACTGTAAATTCATAAATGACCAAGTTCAAAAAAATAAAAAAAGATTTAAAAGTTATATTACACAAATTTCCAGCTGAAACCAGCACTAACAAATTAAACTTAGTAATAACATAAAAGGTGTCAGTTTTTTTTTAAGCTTCATAACTCTCAGCAATTCAGAGCTAGGTTCGAAGCAGAATTACACCAGCTTAAAGATGATAACCAGAACCTCGAGCTGTGTTTCAAAAAAGGAAATCAGCCTTCCAGGCTCAAGACAAGCAAAAAAAGTCAGGGTAAAAAAGAACTGTTTTTCAAACAAAACTTCACAATTTGAACATACGAAATGTGACACGAAAATTTATTTCGTCTGTTAGTATGTTAGGTTGAAGAGAAAGCATCAAACGATCTAGAAAACAAATGCTGAATGACGCCACGTGTCGCAAATAAAAAAATAAGTCATCAGAGGTGTAGAATTTCTTATAAGTTGTTAAAATGTCTGTTTAAATTAAAAAAAAAAAGTTAAAAGTATAAACAAAATATTTTCATAGTTCAAACTGGATAATCTGATGTTGAAATACTCCCCTGTGCCAAATTTGATAGAAAAAAGCTTAATAGATAAAATTTCTTTGTAGTAATAAATGGCCAAAAAAAAACTAGGTAATTTTATTGTAGGTTACTTAAGGTATTAAATCAAGTATGTACTGAAAAAAAAATCAACGTGCTGCAATATATCTTCCAAATGTGAGACCATAAAACTACTGAGTCAACTAAACAGTTGACAGAACAATGTTAGGAAACAAAAGAATTGGAGAGAAGAGTGACAAGCATAGAACTGACCTCACTGTTACTTATTCTTAGTGTGCAGTTTTTGAAGACGAGTTGGGTTAAATTTTGGATTTTTATGCCAGTAGTTTGGATAAAACATCAGTCTTGATGGTGTAATGTCGGTAAACTATAATTACTAATATTCTTTTCCGCTCATCCCTTCGGAATTTTGCATGTTGATTTGAAAGTATGTAAAGCAGGGACCAACGTGCATATAAAAAGAAGTGAATCACCTGAAATTTGCGCGCAGCTGCGGCACAATGACCACAATGATTCATGCACATGCACGCTGGCCTATGCTGATCGGAAATGGAAAAATCATAAAGACCTGTCATCTTACTTGAAAATTTCTTTTACAATTGTTAAAGTCTTATTTTACTTGTTTTCATGGAAGTCTTCCCTGAGTGAATTTTTGAATAAATTCTAAATTGTAAGACTCTCTGAATTTTCAGACACAGGAAACCATGCAAAAAATTTTCTGAATTGGGAAGGTAGTATGCTGTTTTCAAGCTTCTTCGAAAATTTTCATCACTTTAAAATCATGTTCAAATAATCCTAAGCTAACTGCTGATTCTTTTTATGAATTATGTAATGTTATCATGGAATCTCAAGTCTTGAAATGGAGTAGCACTTCTTTCTATTACGAATCGCTCCTAGCTGAGTTGATAGGGATAACTCAGTTAGAATGCAGAAGATCGCTGATTCAATTCTTGAGTAAAGTGTTATTTTTATTGAAAAAAAATTTTTTTTTTTTTCGAGAATTCGGTGTAAAATAAAGGGTAAAAAATTAAAAACTAAAATGTTCTTCCTTCCTCGCTTTCTTCGCATATGCGCTTTGGTAGTGTGGTATATCGTAGTTTGGTCGATGAGATAAAATGAAAAATTTACTTCCGTTACACAGTTTCTGAAGGTGACCAATCTAAAATCTTTGATTTTACAAATTTTTAAATTCCAATTTTATGTATGTTTCTAATATATTCAATTGAAAGACTCTTTTCTTTTAAGTTAGAGTAGTGGGGGTTAGAGTTAGCGCGTGGTGCGCGCAAGGGGTCGCAGCCCTACTAGTATACTGTAATATTTATTCCTATACATTATCCGTATGTGACACCATAACTTCAATACAATGTAAATAATACTACATGTTTATTGAACCATCGGAGAAAAACATATATCATAAGAACAAAATATTTTACCTATTCACAATTGATTCCAAAATTATTTTATGACATAATCTCAAAACAATAAAAAAAATGTAATATTTTAAAAAGACAGGTCGAAAATAAGAATTGTTGGGGGTTTCCTACAAGGAAACAAAATCATCAAGGTGCACAAAAAGAGAGTTCTGAGTAGGCATTGTAACATAACCTCAATATTACTTATTTAATGCAATATCTTTCGACAATTAATGTTAAAATTGTAAAAAAGTTATAGCCTAATGAGAAAATTGTAATAAACATTTAGAATCTACTCCCGAATTATTTGATGGTGAAATAACCTCAAAAAGAAAATGTAACATCTCGAAGAGAATGCAAGATAAGTCAAAATTAACAAGTTTTAACAAGTTTTTTTTTGGGAAACGAAGTCATCGAGGAGCACTAAAAAAATTAACTCTTACCATTCCAATTGATGGTTTGCAGAAGTATTTTTCTGAGAAATAAAAGTAACCTTAATACGATTGACTTTAGCCGATCACATTGTTTTTTTCTTTTCACGTCGATAAATTCATAAGTATCGTTTAAAAAACTTATTTGAAATCAACTGTACTGAATAGGCACAAACTATTCAATATTTGAAAATGACGCAAGTGTGATTAAATATTTGAAAGTGACACACCTAATTACAAAATATTGTAAAATTTGATAAGACAAATGCTTATGGTCGTGTCGTATAACTATAAATTGAACATCCAATTTTGGAAAAAGCCATTTGTAAACTATTGTTACGTCAAAATGATTATTTTGAAAGTATTGGCAGCACTTTTGGTGATACAAGGTAGGTTTTGCACAACGCACATGTTGTACATATACTCTGTATACGCACATGTTGTATATATACTCTGTATATTTATACTTTGAAGAGTCTGTTTTGAAAATTCTTTATAATTCCTTACGTAACGATACATTGTGTCTAGCATTTTAAATGGTAATGATCCAAGTACTAATATAGGTAATCTTATGTTTATTTTACGATATTAAGGTATATAGAAACCTAGGAGTTCGTAATATTTTCTACAATATAATTTATTCGAACTGAATTTTAAAAAATGAATAAATAAAGTAGTTGTACTTTTTTTGCCTATGACCTTGCGTATCACAAATTTTGTTCATTAGAAAGTTTAGCGTATACGCTACACTAATCGAAAAAATAGAATTTAATCGATATTGTCTTAATATCCTAGTATTTTAGTTTGAAGGAACTGACATACATATTAATAAAGTTGATTGTCAGTAGGTATATGTAAGCAGCAAGTTGTATTGCAGTAGAATAATGAAATTTTGAAATAATAGAAAAAACCAAATATTTAACTGCGGTTTAATAATTTATATAAAAAAATTTAATTATCCATTCATTTTTGTCTGTAAAACATAGTAAAATTTGTAACCATACATTAATGAAATTGGGTAAGATAGAGCTGGATAAATTTGAACGATTAAATTTCATTGAAGACATATTTAAAATAGGTTGACTCAACAAAAAAAAAAAAGTATTATCAAAAAAATAAAACATGTTAAAAAATTGGCAGCCGTTTTGAGTTTTGTCAATTTTCGTACTAGCATATACTTTCGCACGCGTTGATATAGCTGAAGAAGTAGATAATTTATATAAGTTTATGGCTGGTAACGAAAAATCGTGGTAAATAAATTGCAACTTCGGCTTGTGCCATAATTATAGGGGTAATCAGTCTGTACTAGTGCTCTTGTAAAACTCACTATCAGTATTTTATTTTTATAAATGTATCCTATGTGTAAAAATGTGTTTGATAAGTTTATATATTTATAGTAATAATAATATATTAATAACAAAATAATGTAATAATAATGATAATAATAATAAATTCCATTAAGTTATCAAGGTTCATGCACATTTGGCGAAAAAAAATGATTTTCCATTTTTCGTGTCTGTAAAGATGAGATCATCTCAAGGCTTCGATTTTCGATGTGGCGGTGTGCTTATTAAAGACGATTATGTTCTCACAAGAGCTGCTTGTGTAGTAGATGGTACCAAAGACGACTATCAGGTCGTTGCTGGCACGATTTCAATAAACCCCACCACGAATAATAAAAATGAGCAGCTACGTTTTATCAGTAAAATTTTATTCCACAACCATTTTAATAAAAAGTAAGACATTGATTAACGATCAATCATGCAATTACTAATAAATCAAAGTTCAGCTGAAAACTATCACTATTTTTAGAACTTACGAACATGATGTAGCTATCTTGAAGTTGGAAAACAAAATAAAGCTGAGCAAAGTCACTCAAGTAATTAAGTTGCCTAAGCCTCACGAAAATCCAAACAAAGGGAATTTGGATCAGTTTGTGGTCGGCTATGAGTATTTATATAGTTATGGACTGCAATACTTCGAAGGTCATGTCACCTTCTATGAAAATAAATTAAAGTATTACTTCAATAACAGAGATAAAGGGGTAAGCATTAATTATTAGAGTTTGTTTTACGGAAATTTGACGTACATAATTTATTGTTTTTTAGGCAATTATGTCAGCCGACGTATGTGTTGAAAAAAGTGGAGATGGATACAAGTTGATTGGGTTTTCTAATGTAGGAGAAATCTCCCTTGTTTCATTAGATGTCGATTGGATTAATAATAATATTGTAGACAATCCATCAAAAGCCAATATTCAATCTTATTATCAGTGTTTTAAAAGCTGTTATGAAGAATTTGTTAAAACAATGACTGATTAAACTTTTGTGACTATATTGGAAGATTTTGCAGCCTAACTTATTTCAAAATAAAATTTTTTTCACATAAATATATAATTTAATGATACTTGTACACTATACGTATCAAATTTGATCGAAATCGTATATAGAGTTATCGAGAAAACAAAAATCATAAGATTTTAAGTATGTATATCGTGATTAACGTCCACTTTTACAGGGACTGTGCGAAAAAGTTGTAAAAAATTATTTACTACGTTTGATATAATGATAAATTAGGAAGATATGCAAAAAAAACTCTATGAAAACAAATATATTTATGATGTACGACTCAGGTTCAAACAAATTTTTTTACGACTCTTATTTTATGTATACTTAAAATAAGTGAACGACGACCATTTATTTAATTTCAATAAAAAAATGATAAATTAAAATTAGCCATTTTATTAATTGAATTCCCGTTTTTAAGCACGACCAATGTATAGGAGTGCCTTATAATTTTGTCAAAGCAAAAAGTGCAAAAACTTATAAATCGTCTATCTTTAGTAGAAAACAAATATTTAACCTAGTATGAGGGTGATCTGAGTTGATCACATAGTATATGTGTGGAAGTATGTGTGTACGTCATTAAGTTTTTCGACTAATTCAAGTAATTATGATATAAATTTACTGAAACTTTATTCGTTACTTCGAGCGAGATGTCTAAGCAAATGGTTCACATTTGGATAAGTTTACATTCATTTCTTTACATATATTTTACTCTTTTGCCTTTAAAGACAGAAGTGTAGATCTCGTTAAAATACAAATTTCTTGTATCACACACTTTATTCCAGATCGTAATGCAGACGCTATGTAATGCAAAATATATACAAAAACAACGAAAAGTGCCATCTTAACGATTTAATCGACAAAAATCGTTTCAAAATACCCAAAAAATGTTTTACACCATCTAATTGTTGAATAGCACATTTTCAGACAAAATGATTAATACGAAAATTGTAGGTCTTCTAAAAATACACTTTTTTGTATTGACCAATTTTACCTTTAGTGTTGTTATGAAAGTACTTAATATCGTAAAACGTTATAAAATGACTGAAAAAGCGTTTGTTAGCTTAAATTCAAAGTTAGCATATTGATACTAATACTCAGTTGGATTTGATAACGAAATAATATTAAAACTGAATTCTGTTATTCAAACAATTTTTGCTCTGATACCATGTAGATTGGTCGTGTCTTATACACAAGACCTAGCGTTTTTCATAAATTTAGCTGCTTGCTTCTAGTTTATTGATATATCTGTAGAAAATGATTTTATTGTGTGTACCCTTTCATCGTATTCACAAAAACATACGCACTATTTCCTTACACAGCAAGTTTAAACTTCTATTGAAATTTACACTTATCGATTTTATTATGAAACACGGAGCGTATTCGTAACGAAAAGACGTAATATTGTACGCACCAATGTCAAGGCTAACATGAATATTATGTACTTGAGTTAGTAAAGCCAATCCTTGGTAATTTTTATCTATGGTAATGTTCCGATGCCAGTCACGTAAATATGATAAAGATAATTTCTTAGAATTCTTGATTTTAGGAAATCAAGCATTTTCTGGATATTGACTATCGCACGCGATGCTTAAGTATGTAGATACATACATTACATATATGTCACGTCATTTGGTCATATAATAGTGAAAGCTGAATCCATAGGATACCAGGCATAGAGATATAATACATAGAATATAGAGACAGCATAGGACCTCATGTAAGTGAAGATGTCTCAGCAGTAAAGATTAAAAAAAGACAACAGTTGTTTTGCATCGTTCTCTACCTTATCTTACTAATATATAAAACAAAGTCGCTAAGACCGTTGTAATCGCTAACCGCGAAAACTATGAACCGATTTTTCTGAAATTTTACATACTGATTCTTGATTATTCCGAAATGGTTTTTGCACAGTTTTTTTCTTGAAAAAGTTAATAACAATAGCGATAAATAAGCACTACACCTCTCAGTAATACATCTTGAAAAAAATCTGAAATAAATATTTCTGCATACCTATGGTTGTAAAAAATAAATTAAGTACTTTAAAGGCCTAGAAAACATGACCTGAAAGAGTAATAAGCTCCTAAAATTGAAAAAAAGTCGAAAAAAAGACGTTTTTATGCTACCTACGTCCAGTAGGGACTGCAATTAATTTAAAACATATGGATATTCTTATAAGCTACTAAAACTAATTGCCCAGATTTTTTCAGAATGAGGAAACCTAATCTCACCGTGCAAAATGTCAAGAAATTCAAGAAAATAGCCTTTTTTCTACCATTTTCGATCATAGTCAGCCATTAGGGGCCCATACAGAGTCTGAATAATTTTTATTACTGTCTTTGTATTACATTTGGTACTTACAGTCATTTTTAGCTCTCAGAAACATAACTTCGTTTGGTTATGTGATCTCAATGTTCGAAAAAATTCGAAAAAAAGACGTTTCTACGCTACTTACGTCCATTAGGAGCTGCAATTGATGTAAAACATATGGATATTCTTATAAGCTACTAAAACTAATTGCCATGATTTTTGTCAGAATTAGGAATCCTAACCTCACCGTGCAAAATGTCAAGAAGTCGAGAAAATAGTAATACCTTATTTGAGTATTACGTTCCTTGACTTAGAAAGAAGTTGAGAATTGCAGCTTTTACAGCTAAAACTAGCCGACAGACTCAGCTAAGGTACTATATGGAGCATTCTTCAAAAATTCTTTTGAAAACGATGCAAAGAATGAGAACAAGTAGCTTTTTTTGAATCGTTTATACCAAATACCAATAACTACTTTATGTCAGGTACGTTTAACAGTTATACACATTGATATTCAATGCAAAAACAATCTGAAACGCGCAGAAAACGAAAGTATTATATTAAAAGATCTCTTATAACTTCTTTCCAGAGTATGGGATTGCCCTGTAAATTACCAAAGCATATCTCTGCGTACCTACCAGTAACATCTTATTCATTTCCCCTTGGCAGAAAAATTAATAACAGTCTTATTCACTGAGTAATTACACGAAATCATCCTAAAAATCTAAATATTCGAGAAATTTTGTCTGTAACTTAACCACGTAAGATTAACCACGAGCTTTTACTCTGCAAACTGTGGAATCTCGGGATCAGGGGCAGGATGCACGCGTGGCTCTCATCGTACCTTACGGGTCGTTTTCAGTTTGTTCGTTACCGTGATGCTGTCTCCGAACCTATTGAGGCATTGTCTGGCGTCCCATAGGCTCACATATTGGCCCAATACTGTTTGTTTTATTCATAAATGACTTACCCCACTATTTGAGCTTTGCACAGTTTTTGATTTATGCAGACGACGTTAAGATATTTACTACAATTAAGTCACCATTTGACTCTTTTAAGTTACAATATGATTTAAATTTATTCAATGAATGGGCTTGAATTAATAATTTGCCGTTGAATACACGCAAGTGCCATATTGTTAGTTTTGTAAACATAGAGACCTATTTATATACGATTACAACTTTAATGGAAGCGTAATAAATACTGTAGAATCTATCAGTGATCTGGGCGTAATTCTGAATGACAAGCTCTCTTTTGAAGAGCACTTGGTTAAAGTCACGTCTAGGGCTCACAACAGTTTGGGTTTCTTGATAAGAAATACGTCCGACTTTAGGGACCCCAGGACGCTTATTTATTTATACAGAACGCTGGTGCTGCCTCTTATAAAATATTGTTCGGTCGTATGGACCCCCCATTGCCAAAATCGTGTAGAAATTTTGAAAAGAGTCAATCATAGTTTTTTAAGATTCATGTCATATAAGTTACGTAGACCTATATCGTATCTGAGTCATGACTACACTGCTATTGCATCAATGTTGAATGTTTGTTCTGTTAAGTCTGGTCATGACCTCATTGACTGTTGTTTTATATATAAAATTGCTTACAACCTCGTGAATTGCCCCAATCTTACAAGTCTCTTCGTTGCAAGATCAATCCCATATAATTTGAGACACTATGCGCCTGTCGTTAAGCGTACCTATGTTAATAATTTTTCGTTTTTTACACCTACTGCAAGACTGAGAAGAGTATAAAACTATATCGTGTCATTAGATTGCGACTTACATGAGTTCAATAATGTTTACCGGTTTAAATCATATATGGTCCCACTTATTCTCATAATTCATGTAATAGCCCATAGCAGTAATTAATAACTTTGTATTAATTTTTAATTTTCATTTTTCTATTTAAAATGGCGTTTTATGGTGCCTTGTTGACAGTGTGTATATGTTGACTGTTTTGTGCGACTTATTCGTTTGAATTACCCGAGCACTGTCCATCAGACCACTTATTATATTGATATCTTGCCTTAACTTTACATTATTATATAAGCTACACAATTACATGTAATGGGACTTTGGTCCCATAAATTTTACTAAATAAATGAATAAATAAATAAATAGACAAAATTTTTATAAAAATACAAATTTTTCTGAAATTTTGTCGATGACTTTGTTTTAAAGCATAGGATTGATGTTGAAACTTTAACAGCTTCTTTTTGTGTCCTTTTTAACGATGTCTCATCAATTTGCCGTCAGAAAAAAACTCAATAATAATTGTATTAAATTAATAATTTTACAAAATTGTTGAGAAAATATTAATTACAGTAGATTTATTCTACGATTTAGTTTCAAGGCATACGATTGACGTAAAAACTTACACAGCTCTTCTCTGTAGACCTACCAACAATATTTTATCAGTTTTACGTCAGGAGAAAAATCTATCATAATTTTATTCAATAAATAATTAGACGAAATTTTTGGAACAATCCAGATTTATTGTCCAACTTCTTTTTGACATATAAATAATGTGCAGTTGCGTCACCGGTCGTACGTCTGCATACCAGCATGTACCGCCGGTGGCTGGTAGGTCGGCACAAAAATGATATAAGGCATCGAAGGAGCTGCTTGTGTACTAAAGTTGAAGCGCTGGAAAAGCTGCTGCACTTCCTG